AATGACCGTCTCAGTGGTCCTCTCTCATCGTCTGAAATCTCCAAAGCTCGTCTCAAGATCTTCCATCATGTTCCACAAGCCACCTTTGGAGATGAAATAGTGTCCCTCCAAAAGAAGCGTGACTGCTCCACCAGACTACAACGTGAAACACCATTTCTTGACTTTGGTTAAAGCACTTCGTTGCTTTAAGGCGGGCAGTATGTTCAAGACTTTTTCCCCTTGATCTGCATTTAACATGTGTATATTTATTTATCATATGTTATTATTTCTTTCTGTTTACTTTTTCATTACATTGTTTTTATTGCTCAAGTCAACATGGTTTCTTTTTTATAATTTTAATTTTACCATTTCCCTATCCAACAGCAAGTCTTACGTTTTATCATTACTCTACTAACCTTAAGTAAAACAAAATAAGTAGGCCTACGGAGGGGGCCTGTGCACAATTTGTAAATTTTAATTGGGTTCAAAGCTTATTTTTGACGCAAAACAAATAATGCCGTTATCTTTAATTTAAAAATATATAACTTCGTCAATAAAAAAATAACATTTAAGAAAACATGATCATTTTTAAATAATATGTTTTTTTAAGACATCGTGTTTGTGATATTAAGTTTATAGATTCAGTTGAGGAGAACTAACATCCTTGGATATAGCTCTGTGAAGAGAGATGCATTAACTTTTTCTAAATATAATTGGCACACTGAATGATACTGTTAAATATTTTCATTTTGAACTCAACGTTTATTAGATTTAGTTATTTTTTTAAACAAATATAAACCAACTGGACGAGTTTGGCGAATGAAACTCATATTTCTAGCGCGCTCATAGAGCGGAACAAGATGGCACGTAGCCACCCCTCGCAGGGCGCGAGCGGTGTTTCCAGTCGAGCGGTCAAAGTGTAAGGATTCAGGCGAATGAATTCTCCAACGATGGTCCAATTATGCAAACCGTGTAACGAGATGTTAACATCCCCTTGTCCTTTATAGGACGGAATTAATCCTTAGACGTTGTTATTTGAACTCATAGGTCGTTTGTGGGGGGAACACTAGTTGGCAACTCTAAGTTCGAAGATTGTAAATGTATGTACATATGAGATTTTGATATACGTAACTCGTAGAAGCTAAATACGAATTTACTCGTGCATACATCTGTCATAAAGCCTTCAATTCTCTAAGTTAAGGGATTATACGCATAGACGCTGTTGTTTTACTTTTAGATGCCTTGAATAATTTTGTAAAGAAAATACTACGAAATACTTAAGAATTAAAAGGTTAAAATGGATGTTCAAAGGAGATTTTGCAGACACACAGTTTCAGTAACAAGTTACGTGTTTTGACATTTATAAATCTCGAAGTTTGTTCTCATAATTATTTAACAAAATAACTTAACTTCTTCATTTGCATTTTTTTAAAGTCATGTACTCGTATATTTTTGTGAATAAGGGTTGATATAAGTAAATTAATGATTCCTATTTCCTAAATATTCGAAGGTTAAAAAGATCAATTTAGCAGATGTACGTAGAGGAGATAATTTTCTTCGTTTAAAAAAAATTTCTTAATAGTAATCAGTAAACCTAAATATTATACATTTTACATGTCATAAAACAATGAAAAAATAATATAGAACTTACTAGAATACATTACATCAAAGTAAAATTTAATTTAAATGTTTTCAAAATACTTACCGCTATAACCTGCAAGAAATTTATTTATAACCATTCATGTAAATGCAAAAACCGTTACAATTGATCAACAGTAATAAACAAAACCGTGGCACTTTCTCATATGTCAATATTATATCTACCATGCAATTAGCTAAACTAATGTTTTATACACTAGACATTTATACTTTAAACAAAATAAAATTATAGGCATAAACAAAATAAGTGGATTTAATTGAAATAAAAGAAAGAAAGTAAAAGGGTTAGACTTTGCTATTTCACTCTAACTAAAAGAAAAATCTAATTGAAATAACGATCTTGAAAGTCACCACAAAGCGCAACGAATTTTAAGCCAAAAGATAATACTCGAGTCCAGTAGTTTTTGGAAAATATCGTATCATTTATGTCATCCCTGTCAGGTACATTGGGTGCGGAAAGCTGTGAGATTGCGTAGGTATATCACCAGAGGGGGCAACACTAAAGGTGCAGAATGACATAAGGGGAATTTAGTGTTGTTTAGTTGGTACACTAAGAGCAATAGGAGGATTGTTTTTCCATTTTACAGCCTTTTTCAGAAATGAATGAGTGTGATAGTTTGTAATGAAGATCAACAGATCGACATATCTTCCCTTACAAGTGTTTACTTAAAATAATTTACGGTATGAATCAGAAGACATGCTGAATATTATCATTTTTGGACCTAGGAACGGTAGTATTCTTCAGTAGAGTGTTGCTTGATTGTAGTGGTGAGTCATGTAAGGACAGACAAATCACAACATGATCCCTCATAAGTGTTCAATTTCCAAGAAGTGACCAGTGCTATTTTGTGGTACAAGATTGGCAAGGGTGGACAGAGTCAGGTAAGAAGATTCTATTAATGTGCGTCATACAGAGAACCAAAATAACGACTAATCTATTCTCTGAATCCATGAACTCCAGTTATACAGGGTGGCTGAAAAGTAACTTGCAACCCCACTTAACTTTACAACCATTTGAGATATTTGAAATCGGTTTGCGGCAACCTTCTTAGATATGAGAGGCTACAATAATTATGGTCAATTTTGAAAATTTTGCCCTTAGGGGTAGCGGGGGTAGGGGGTAGCTCAACATTTTCAAATGCCAAGTATAGTCGAGTTTGGTATCATTTTACAGGTCTTGACGAAACATAAACATTGACATAAAGAAAACCAAAATCGGCTCACTAATAACAAAATGGCAGCTCAAAAATACTTCAAATAACCATTGTCTCAATCATTTTTAGCTGCCATTTATTTATTAATGTTGTGATTTCTATTTTCTTTATGTTAATTGTTATGTTTCGTCAAGACCTACAAAATGATACCAAACTCGACTATACTTGCTATTTGAAAATTTTGAGCTACCCCCAACCCCCGCTACCCCTAAGGGCAAAACTTTCAGAACTGACCATAATTATTATAGCCCTTTATGTCCAAACAAGTTGCCGCAAACCGATTTCAAATACCTCAAATAGTTAAAAAGTTAAAGAGGGTGCAAGTTAATTTTTTGCCACGCTCATGGTTATTTGGATTTGAAACGTTTTAGGGCGCCATTTTGTTATTAGTGAGCCGATTTTGGTTTTCTTTATGTCAATGTTTATGTTTCGTCAAGACCTGTAAAATGATACCAAACTCGACTATACTTGTCATTTGAAAATTTTAAGCTATCCCCTACCCCCACTACCCCTAAGGGCAAAATTTTCAAAATTGACCATAATTATTGTGGCCTCTCATATCTAAGAAGGTTGCCCCAAACCGATTTCAAATATCTCAATTGGTTGAAAAGTTAAGGGGGGGTGCAAGTAACTTTTCAGCCACCCTGTATAGGGGAAGATGTAAAGCATAAGATGCTGAGTAGGCCAAATAATTTAGCGGTATAAGGTTGGTAGTGCTGTGCAGTGGCAGGCTGCCAGATTGTATTAGTGTGTCTTAGGATCAACAGATCGACATATATCCCTTCTCAAGTGTTTATTTTCTTCATCCACTTTTCATCTTCGATACTAGTGGATAGCTATCGAGTTACCTCTGCCATACTTTAGGATCATTATAAAAATTACGTTCCATTTCTCCTTCGAACAACAGATTCATGTTAAGTAAAAATCTACTTTAAAACTCCGTTTTGTGTCTAAAAATAACAAAACAATTTGAAAAAACCCTCCTAGCAAAGTATTATCACTCGAGAAATGTTCACCGGCTACAACGCATTTTGAGTTCATTATGACAGGAATGGCAGGCGGTTGAATCGGAAATATAACGGCAAGTGGTGACCCACCTACCCTAATGTAATGCTGCCCTAATGCACCCTATTAACCCGGTCCCCTGGCGGTGATTTCCTTGGTGCACTTACATTATGCCGTTACATCTGAGTTTTTGAGGAATAACATTTCTAGAAAAAAATTGTTATTCCTATTAGAAATAGAAATTGTTTAGTTATTAGGAGTTAGAAGAACGGGTGTACATTAATTTTAAGGACGTTGAATTGGTTGCGGGACCTAAATTTAGTTATATGTAAGCTGTTTAATTAAACACACAATCTCAATTCGTATACAAATTAAGTAGTTAACTATTTTGCACGTTTGGAGATTAATCAAATATACAATCATGGATTAAAATTGTAGTGAGAAATGGATCAACTGTGTAATAATAAAGAACGGCGTTTTCCGTGATTTAGCTACAGCAATGTGCTGCGGGTATTGTATAACGTAGGATGAACGGCGTCGATACTTTAATTATTTCTTTGCAATAGAACCTACCCAATACATAGCCTAGCCTACTATTGATAGCTAGCATTCCTATTCTAATATCATTTTCTAACTAAATCAGTAAGAATAAGTAATAAAAACAATTAGTTTAAGCATGTGATTAAAAGAAATTTTTAAATTATGGAATTAAAAGAGTAAATAAAGGTGTAAGTAAAACATATTTAAAATGTATGTAAGGAATGAGGGACATTTAAACACTGGGAAATTCCATTAGCTGTCCACCAAACTTAAACCATTTACGAACCACTAATTTTATTTATAATTTTGTACAACGAGTTCAAATTTAAGACAGTAAAGTTCGTGTTTCTTTTCTTAATAAGCTATTTTGAAATACTTGTGTTCCAATGCCTGGACGTGATAATTGGTGACCAGGCTTCAACTATGGTTAAACTACGAGTAAACAATGTTTGATGCATATATTCAATCCTTAATATTCTGTGGAGTAAATAAGATTCAAATTACATTAGGAACTAACAAAAAAATCTATTTAAGATTGGTGAACAGCTATCTGTAAACTCAGAAACAATTGTCTACACAGAATACCAAATAAATCAAACTTACCTGGCAGTTTTACCGGAGGCCATGTATCCAGTGACGCCACACAACACAACACTGACACTGGCAACACTGGTTCCTGATAAGGGAGACACACTGATAAGATATGTGTGGGTCCTGGTGTGTGACTGTGTGACTGTGTGGGGGGTTGGGCGTGTGGAGTAATGCTACATCTGTAATGGTATTGCAAGTGTTAAAGACACCTCCCACAAATATACCTCTCAACTGTGTGAAGATATATTGTTGAAAAAATTACTTTTGTTACATCAGGATCTTTTGCTTGGGGATGATCATTATATTTTTTAGCTATCACCCTTGACCTATACCCCAGTAAAGGGTGGTAATAAAAACTAGTTACTACTCTTTTGGTTCCGTTTGCAAAATTCGTACACTAATTATTGTTGGAGTTATGGCTAAATGATCTTCAAATTTCAAATGTACGTGTTTTAAATTCAAGTTTGTAACCATAAAAGTTCAAATTGTGAAAATGCCTTTATTTATGCTAAAAGTGCATATAAAATTCGTCGGTCCCTAAAGTATGAGACCCGATTGTATTTTACAAAACCGTTATAAATAAACATCTATAACAGATCAACCACCACAAATCGTTAAATATGACTCGTTTAGGATCTTAGTGCATACCTACATTTTTGGGGTTTTGGTACATTACAGACCTATCAACGAAAAACTGTGTGACATAGATTTGAATATATCTTTTGCCCAACTATCACTTTACAATATGATTTTAGCCAAAAGCCAAGCAAAAAATACACAAACGCGGTCTATGGGTGGGCAATCCACGAAATTACATCCTCACAAAATACTCCATAAAAGCTGTCAGGAAAACACATACTTAAATAAAAGATTCCTTAAAATATTTTTGAAAGTGAGTCCTACAGTTTAAAAACATTACGAACGCATACATTTAGGATACTCTAACTCAGTGAACAGTTCTAAGTGAACAGTAGAACAACCGATAAAGATAATGCCTGGGGAGAAAACGTTATGTAGGAGTCGGCGTTTGTTAATTCGCAACATTAAGAGACATTATGACCCTCGCGGCGTGGCTTTCCGTGCAGATACGCATCTAGTAAATTGTAACTGTAATAACAGAACACCGAGCTTTTCTTGTTGGTTTACGTGTCGTTCTAGTGGTTATAAATTTGTTCCCAACAATCATTCTAGTCAGACACTGTATGTTTATGGGTTTGTTGTACACTTTTCTGTATAATTTGCCTGATATAGTACTAAACCAGCGTTATTTATATCAACAAGAGTTAAATGAATCGGCTTTTTGAGGGAAAGTTCCCCCACCTTCCCATACATTTTGTGTTTAATGTATGCAGCTGATTGCAGTTTTGGCAAACTTCAGCTGATAAGCTAATGTTACAATTGGAGGGGTCAAATCTGGGTAGATGTCTTCCAAAAAAAAAAAAAAAAAAAAAAAAAAAAAAAACACACAAAACACATACATTTTGTGAGCGGAGTATAAAACAAAATTTTACAACAGTATTATTGGGTTGCAAATTTTTACTGATACGAAAAGGTCACCCACAAATTAATTACATACATGTGCAGAATATATTTTTAACTGTACATGTTTGACAATAATTCCTGACAATAACACAAAAAAATTTCCTGCCTTTTCACATCGTCCAATTACTTGACAAGCTTAATGAAAATGTTTTGCAGAAACAATTTTAGCAGTTCGATGGGAATAGAACGATTTATTTGAATAAATTAATGATATTAACAATTCAAATTTCACCAAAAATAATACGACCAACTGTGAGGATAGTTAACAATCAGAATACAACTCTCCATACTATTTTGCGCCGAGGTGTATACGTTGTAAAATGAATTCATGAAAAATGGATTCTCATTCAATCAAAGACAAGAGCCACTCCAACGCCTCACACTTGCCTTGTCCCGGGAGTTTGTGGGGGGGGGGTCATGCTGGTGGGGGGAGGTTTGAAGGGGGTTAGGGGGGCTGCGTGACCTCTTCCGACCTCATACGTCACTGTTCCCTGGGGTCGGGGTCACAATGTTAGGTACTGTCTGATGGCACTGCTTACAGTACGGTAAACTGACAAACAGGTAGAGTGAGCGTTTAATTTAATTAAATTAACTATCATCTATGATTACACCTATCCCTTCGCAGTAAACCTACGACTGAAATTTTACGTCACACTAGAGGAATAATTTTGTGAAAGGAAATTAACGATTGGATTCATGCAAAAACTTTGAAAAATGTGTACTAAGGATTAATGTTCAGATTAATCGTATTGGTGAAACTGCAGAAAATATAATAGATAATTTTTTCCCTATTTACTATGACTTACATGTAAGACTTTGACGGATTCCAATGAATGTACAACACTTTTGAAACGACTGTAAAAGTTTAGGAGGACGTGTAGCAATGTATTAGGATACAATACTAATGGAAGCAGGGCTATCTTACCTAGTTAAGGTTGGTCGAAAATATACACACATTTCTACATAACCTAATCCCGTTTTTGTTTTTATATAGTTGAAAGGTTAATCTAGTAAACATAAAAACATAATTCAAAACAGTTTTAATCCAATTATATACCCATAATAACTATTCCATTTGGTTTTAAAGCATTGATCAAAACACAATAAAAAAAACGAGCCAGTAAAACAAAGTTAAAAACAGTCACAACACAATTACAAACAAGATGTTTTAAGGCAGATGAAGGCTGTTGGAAGCATGAGGGTGGGATGGAGTAATCCAATTTGTACAAGGCGACGCCGAACAGCTCTACGTCCACTCTGGGATATTGGACAGAATGGCCAGGGGTCAAATCTGGGTATATACTGACACGCAAGTACATTATACATAGGGCAAAATGGTCAGGGGAGAATCTGGGTATATAATGACACGCACCTACACTATACATAGGAAAAACTGGTCAGGGGAGAATTTGGGTATATAATGACACGCACCTACACTATACATAGGAAAAACTGGTCAGGGGAGAATCTGGGTATATAATGACACGCACCTACACTATACATAGGAAAAACTGGTCAGGGGAGAATTTGGGTATATAATGACACGCACCTACACTATACATAGGAAAAACTGGTCAGGGGAGAATTTGGGTATATAATGACACGCACCTACACTATACATAGGAAAAACTGGTCAGGGGAGAATCTGGGTATATAATGACACGCACCTACACTATACATAGGTCAAAATGGTCAGGGGAGAATTTGGGTACTGTATATAATGACACGCACCTACACTATACATAGGAAAAACTGGTCAGGGGAGAATTTGGGTATATAATGACACGCACCTACACTATACATAGGAAAAACTGGTCAGGGGAGAATCTGGGTATATAATGACACGCACCTACACTATACATAGGTCAAAACGGTCAGGGGTGAATCTGGGTATATACTGACACGCACCTACACTATACATAGGAAAAACTGGTCAGGGGAGAATCTGGGTATATAATGACACGCACCTACCCTATACATAGGAAAAAATGGTCAGGGGAGAATCTGGGTATATAATGACACGCAAGTACACTATACATAGGTCAAAATGGTCAGGGGATAATCTGAGTATTTACTGACACGCACCTACACTATACATAGGTCAAAATGGTCAGGGGAGAATTTGGGTATATAATGACACGCACCTACCCTATACATAGGAAAAAATGGTCAGGGGAGAATTTGGGTATATAATGACACGCACCTACCCTATACATAGGAAAAAATGGTCAGGGGAGAATTTGGGTATATAATGACACGCACCTACCCTATACATAGGTCAAAATGGTCAGGGGAGAATTTGGGTATATAATGACACGCACCTACACTATACATAGGAAAAATGGTCAGGGGAGAATCTGGGTATATAATGACACGCACCTACCCTATACATAGGAAAAAATGGTCAGGGGAGAATCTGGGTATATAATGACACGCACCTACCCTATACATAGGTCAAAATGTTCAGGGGAGAATTTGGGTATATAATGACACGCACCTACCCTATACATAGGAAAAAATGGTCAGGGGAGAATCTGGGTATATAATGACACGCAAGTACACTATACATAGGTCAAAATGGTCAGGGGTGAATCTGAGTATTTACTGGCACGCACCTACACTATACATAGGTCAAAATGGTCAGGGGAGAATTTGGGTATATAATGACACGCACCTACACTATACATAGGAAAAAATGGTCAGGGGATAATCTGGGTATACACTGACACGCAAGTACACTATACATAGGTCAAAATGGTCAGGGGATAATCTGAGTATTTACTGACACCCACATTTACTATACATAGGTCAAAATGGTCAGGTACGTACTGATATGCAAGTACACTATACATAGGCCAGAGGGGTCAGAGGAGAATCTGGTTATATAATGACACACACTATACAAATACACTTTACTTAGACCAGAAGGGTCAGTGGAGAATCTGGGTACATACTGATATGCAAGTACACTATACATAGGCCAGAGGGGTCAGGGGAGAATCTGGGTATATACTGATATGCAAACACAAGCCAGAGGGGTCAGAAGTAAAATCTGGGTACTTTATGATATGCATGTACAATATACATAGGCCAGAGAGGTCAGGGGAGAATCTGGGTACATACTGAAATGCAAGTACACTATACATAGGCCAGAGGGGTGAGGTGTAAAATCTGGGGTTTTACACATGATAAACTAACAAGGTCAAATTTTAACTAATCATCGCGTCGTAACAGAACTGTTTTGCATCAACTGTTATTTAGCAATCAAATTAACACGATGTTAATGGTATTGATTTCATTGTGATACAATTACTTCAATCTATACGTGATTAGTTCAACAGATAACATTGTAGCTGGGTTTACATTCATGAACGAATGTCTGTCAGGCCAGGACATGATGTATTGTGTAAAAGCTTCAATGTAAAAGCCAATAAATCAGGGTTTGCAATGCATAACAACAGTAAGTGGCAATGGTAGTAGATAGCAAACAGTATGACACTTTGAAATACTAAACTATACAAGGGTGTCAAGGATTTTCTCGGT